TAGAATGCCAGTTATGCACATTGTTTTGTCTTAATCTACCAATTGCTCTCTGTACTTCAATAATGTATTGTTTAAGATGGTTAAATGAGGAGGAAAGAAGAAAATAAAAGAATTCTGCCATTCAAAGTAACATGATTCTGACAAGTGTTACAGAGAGAATCAAAAGTTCTTAGTGTTGTAAAAAGTCTCTCTTCCTCTTCATTTGGACCACCAAATGTTTTCTCTTCAAATACTAAAACAGGCATTGCAATCTCTGCATTCAAATGAAGTACAATGCTCTATTATGTAAGACCATGGGGATCAGGAACATCGCTGAGTAATGCAGTGTGTTCTCCTATCTCAACATAATCTGAGCAAGCACTAAAAAGCAGGTCTGTGAACTCATTTCTAACAGACGAATTCAACAGCTATGGTAAGAACAAATGCGTCAACACTTCCAGAAAAGCATCAACTTGACACTAATAAGTATGAGGATTAATGAAAACTGAATATGTGAAGTGGCCTTGGCAAATAGTTGTAGCTAATGACCTCCTTGATTGTGCTGTATTTGATGGATTCAAATCAATTCAAAGGATATTTTCAATTCTTGAGTAACGGGTCTGATTATATTGACTTTTGAATAATACTTGGTAAATTAATATCTGGCAAAATTTAAGGAATAACTGAACCAACTGACAAGTCAAGTTTTGATCTGTTACACACCACACTTGGTACTTCAGAAAACTTGTCATGTGCTTTACATACAGCAGATCAACTTACCAGAAAAGTTCCAGTTCAGTTTAAAAGTCTTCTTGTTTTATTTCCGTTAATAACACAATTAGACTTAGCCTCAGTTATTAAGATTACATAACAAATAAAGCGGGTGCTCTTCTCTTTCTTTAAAGATTTGAAACCAAATGCTTTGGATGATGAATGTTTACTATGCCCATTGTGCATTAACAAGCGCAGTATCTTTTCAGACCTAAATAAACTCACCAAATCTAAATAAACGGTAGTTCTGTTTCTTTGTTTTCTTCAGCAGGTTTTGACAGAAATTTTTTAAATTTTTAAAATATTTTTACAATATTTTCTGCTTTGTGGTCTATGGATTAAGTGTATCGATCCTGTCAGTGTGGTGTTTCGTGTCTGACAAATCAAAAAATCTTGGATAGAGTCTGTCTACATTGTTTATGATTTGTGTCTGACAAATCAATTTTAATTATCTTCTCTTTGTACACTAAGATACAAAATAATGATAATGCAAATTACTCACCTTTGATCTGTAAATTCGGCACTTATAATACCTCTAGCTCTTGACCACAATCTCATTCGATCTTTCCATCTGTAAGTTTCTCAACCTCATAGGAGACCTAGTGGTCACTTGCGGTTACCTGACAGTACTTGCACTCCTCTTTTTTCAAATTGAGATTTTTCCAGTAATATTTAATATATTTCTCAATGTTTTTTTCTTATATATTTGTGCAAGGACCTCAATGATGCCTCCTTGGGTTTTGGCCTCTCAGTTAGTCTGTGACAAGGTAGTAAAATTTAATCAAGAAAAAAGCATGCACCCTTGAAATGTTGGGGTTGTTTTGCAATATAGCAGAAAATGATGAACCATAAAAGTCTTTCAAGAGTGAAAGCAATTCACCTTGCTAAGATGAATGAAAACAAAATATTTTTGTGAGCGCTTCCAGCAGCCTTTGACAGCACATTTTGGATTGAATGCACTCCTCTGGTGCACTTCTTCTGATTTCTTCTTCAACACTGAAGTGGACCCTTCTCCTTTCTTTTCTCATTGAAGAGTCCAAGGCATAGTTGACGAGAGAAATCTTGCTTCGACGATTCTCAACTTCTGTTGGAACAAGCTCTGGAAGTCTTTCCATCATTTGCTTCTTTTCATCATCTACAAAATCCTTGGTATTTGGGAATCTTGTGACAATCTTTTGCATAAAATCTTAGAGATGGTTTCAAAATTCTGTGGAATGTTTCTTGTTCATGTTTATCATGTCTACAACAACTAAAGCTTGTATGTAAATGTGACAAAACTTGTCTGGTACAGCAGACAAGTTTTCATTGGTGAACAATTTCGTGATAATTAATCTTGAAAATTTTTCATAACATCTTAGAATAATTGGTCTACTAATAATACTAGATAATTAATCTTGAAAATTTTTCATAACATCTTAGAATAATTGGTCTACTAATTCATGGAAAAGTTCATTCCAGAGTCTGGGTGCTCTTATTGAAAATGCTCTAGAACCATTCATAGTTTGGTTGTATGCTCAAACTATACCATTTAGTGATGTTTTCATCAGCAAAAAGCTGTGTGGCAAGAGGGCAATAGGTGCATGTGACCAATTAACAAATTTAAGTTGATTACATACTCAAATTGAATTAAACTACATAAAAAATAACCAGCATAAAGCTATGCTAGGATACAATGCAATATTCTAACAAAGAATATAAAGTATAAAAGCAAAATTGCAAAAATGAAAAAAATGTGATTAAAGTTTTGAGTCTGTAACACATAATAGGAATTGTCATGGAAAACAATATTTTGTGCTAATCTCCACTTGACCCATCAAAGTCCACTAGGTACATAGGTATCACCCTCCTTTTCTTGTTGTTTATCAATTTTTTTTTTTTTTGCAGGGAAGCAATCTCTGCTGAGACTTGTTGACTTCTCACTCTTTGCAGCTGGCTTTTAGAACTCAGACTGAATCAACTTGTTGAGCCTCATCTTTACAATAATGACAAAGAGAAATTCCAAGTTCCTCAAGAACTTTCACAGAAGCCTGACATCTAATGTTACAGTGGGCTACTGCATCGTAAATGCCCAACTGCAAGATCTCAGGGTCAACATAGACACTCTTCTGTACTCTCACCTGGAACATAGCATTGAGGGCCTCATTTTGATTTTGTCTTTCCATCGAGACACCTGCTCAGAGGAATGTCTTCACTCAGTCTAGAAAAGACTGGTTTAAGTTCAGCAGTGACATCTAGGGGTAGACCAGCCACATGCTTGTAGTAGTTGGTGTGATTGGCTTGATCCCTTGTACCCACACCAGCTATTAACACTCTCTGGGAACTGCTGCAAATGCAACTTTCTGTCAGCTGCAGATGCACAATAAAACAAACTTGCATGAATAGCTGATTTCATAACTGGAAGACTATCAGAATTGCCACTGTTGGCAATACCACAATAATTTTGTAACTTATCAATTGTGTTGTCTGTCAGTCTTCCTTCCCCACTCATTCCTTTCTTCTCCTCCTTGAATATACGTAAAGCAGTGCCAAGTCTCTTTTGTGCATGTCCTATATATTCCTTCTTCTGCACTTGTACATTATGAATGACATACTGTTCTTTTATCAGATTATAACTGTTACTATTACCATCTCCATAACATCCTGAGTACAAAAGCTTGTGTTTCTCTTCCAAGCAAGAGAAGATATGCATGTTCCCTACACTTCTTGCAGACTTTGCTTAGGGGTTCAACATCCAAAACTTTTCCAGTGTCCATGCTGATGGCAGTGACACAACCATTTGAAAAGGAAAAACCTCTTCTTTGCCAGGTGCCATCACAAGATACAGCACACTTTGCTTATCTATCTTGAAATGCTGGTTTTAAGCTATGGATTTCTTGTGCAGCACTGGTCACTGTAAAGAGTTAAAAGCTGACATTTCAATTGTTAGTACTTCGTCAGAATGATGGGAGGCCACCAACCTGTTACATTCCATCAGTGGTGCAGTACCACAGTTATTTTTTTAAAAACTTACTCCTTTTATTCAAAATGGGCCTTGGTCTGGTTTCCTTAACATGTTTTCCCAGAAATTATCATATTTCACTAGTTAGTCCTTTAACTTAAATTGTAGTTCAATAAAGCAAACAATCTTTAACAGTTTAGTTCAATGCTCATAAGGCTCCTCAGTCCAGAATTACCCCGGATCTCAATTAGTTTGAGCTGATAATTATCAAAAGTACTACCTTCAGCTGTAATCTCTACAAATACCACACTGAACTGATCCTTTTGCACATATTATCCAAGCAGCTATACTTGAGAGCCACCTTAACCTTGCATTTGTGCCAATAAGAACTAAGGTAGGCAGCTAATTGGTTTGGTAGTTGCCAAGCATCTGGGGAAGATTTTTTGCCTTAAAGCATGATGATGTCAGACATACACACATTTCTCTAAATTATTTTTCTCTTTTGACATCAATGCAAGTTAAATAGGAACTCTTTCCTCCAGTGTGTCCATACAATACAAAAGGTTTGCGAGTGATATTGTCCACAAAATCCACACATTCTGTACTGAACCACATTCTTTACCTTTTGGATGTCTTATTCAAGTGATGTAGTAAGCCACTGTCCTTTCTCTGTACCTGGGTAGCTGCTCCTTAGCCATCTCCAAAATTTCCATAATGGCAAAGTAATGACAGGGCAAATGATATGAACTTTTTTTTCATTTCATATTGCATTCCAACATTTTTCTTCAACCTTCACATAAGCGTGTATGGAACCATAGTGCATGTCATCCAGATGTTGAAATTCCACAGTGTAATCATCTAGCATTGTCTCTTGCTGTGAAACATTGCTGGAACACCCATGTTTTCTTATGATTTGGTGGCAGTATTTCTAGCTGGTCCTGGGTAAGGGGTGCTGAATTGGTCCAAACTTGGTTTAAGGATCCAACAACATGTGTGGTTTCTGCGGTGCTCTCTTTTGTTGATCTAAAATCACAAGGGGAAATAGCATAATCCATGAATCTTCAAAAGTAAAATTCACGTGAATCAAGAGTTACAGAAAGAACTGCCTAACTAAAGCTACATATCAAGTGATTCAGCTCAGTGACAACATCAGGGTTTAAACCCTCGCAGATCATGCCACCACACACAGCACACTATAACCATTACATCCGATCATCATGTAATAACAGTAAAGAGATTTGCTACACACATAAAACAGCAATGACTAACCAAATGTCATTACCATGCATTGTAGCACTTATTAGTAAGTTGTTCATAAAATGCTTGGGGTTGTAGATCTGGCTATCTCAGGCAACTTCTGGATTATTGACACTGCTGTGACAATCTGAAACATTGCAAAATTGTATCAAACATCATTTGAGTCATATATCAATAGCTATGCCAAAAGCAAGAAGTTTATGTCATCAAAATATTGTTTTGACAGTTTTACATATTTTCAGGACATGTTAACATTTCAGCATCATCTGATCTTCGTTGACCATGATAATAATAATCTGATTGGTACTTAACAGGATAAAAAGTTCATTACGTGTACATGATACAGGAACAAACCTGGCCATCCACATTCTTTGTTCCATGGAATAACTCTCTGAATAAATCCCCACTGTAGTCCTCAAATGGAAAGCATGAGTTTGACCACAAGTGGCCAAGGTCTTTTAGAACCTCTGGAAGGTGCAAGTGCTGATGAGCATTGAAGATCTGAAACTGCTTTCATGGTTTAAACAGTTAAAAATTCATTAATTTCCTATTATAAGAGCTACAGATAGATACTAATACACAACATGCTGCATTTGTTCCTAGAAAATAATATGAATAGATTTAATTAATTATTTTCACTTTAGAATGCTGGCCTAATACAAGGTTGCATCAATTTTGCAGAATTCAATTTCATGGTGTCTGTATGATATGACCATGTATTACTTACCATAAAAGAGAACAAGTTGAGAATTAAAAAGCTTCAAATATTTTTATTTTACTTTACTCAACTTTAATTATACAGATCTTAATATACAAACTGCAGATAAATTAACAATTAAAATAGATAAAAAGAAAAAAAATTAAAAAAACACAAGATCTGAATAATAAGGTCAGTTAATGCAGTGTTGCATGCACGGCAGACACAGGGTGCAGCATAATTGGGTCCGCCAGGTCAACCACAGTGAAGTACGGGACGGACAGCAGACACTTACAAACGCTTATTGGACTGAATCACGTAATCAGGCTAGCCGACTTGTTACAACACTTGCGGTGAAAACTAAAAAGGAACGCATGACCTGTTTAAGCTAATGAAACGCGCTAAACTACAAATCTGACAACAGAAAACACAACTAACGATTGTGACTTACATCTGATCTTGGCTCCAGGGACAAGAAAACTCCAATGTTGTAAAAAAACTCTGAAAGACTCCAATAAAACTCCTCTTTGCTTCAGGGAAACCCCTTAAAACTAAAATGTTAGCGTGAAAAAGGGCCTAATATACTTCTATGACATAAAGGAAACTAAACTGAAATAACTCTTTGTGCAGCTAGCCAGAACAGGATATTTTATAATCACGCAATCAAAACGAAACGAGGCTACAATTTAAGAAAACAAAAGGTCATGAAATGTTCTGAAGCATTCTTTGTACAGAAACATGACATACAGAATACGAGAATTCCTTATGAAAATAAACTGTCTCGATTAAAAAACATATATATATATATATATATAAGCAGCATAGAATTTGGTATACCTCATAATGAACTCCCAGTAAGAGGATCCACAGGATACAATGTCTGGACGTGAATTTGTAGTTAAGTGTATTATAAGGACGCAATGAAGAGACCAACTCTTGACTGTTCTGGATGAGTTTAATGCACGACATTTCGGCCATTTGGCCTTCTTCAGGTTAAAAATTAAAAACAGAAGTTATTTACAATGATTGCAACTTATATACAAAACAGAAATTTTAAGATTTAAGTTACATGATACAACAAAGGTCTAAATTACAAACTGAGAAGGGTTAAACAATGAAAGGCAAATAAAGAACTATAGTTGACATGTTAATACAAATAAGGTGAATCCAAATAAGTGACAAAAATTATAGAGAAAAAAGATTCTAACTTAATTAGTAGTGTTTACTCCGGAGTAGCAAGCTCCCCATTGAAGGCCTCTGAATGAATGCAATCATTAAAAGATCATAACAGGAAAGGGCCATTAAACCACGTAATAATTTCCCCTCCAAAACTTCTTTTGTAAAAAACCGATGACAAACATAACAGCATCCCTGAAAAGGGCTCTTGAACTGAGGAATAAACAGATATCAAAAATGATAATGGGGTAAAATTAAAATCAAAATCAAATACATCATGTTGGGAAAATGGCAAATCACAACTACTCAATTGTAGTAAATAATGTGATGTTTTGATCAAAATTCTCACCGTTTGTTAAGACCTTGAGGATTAAGGGTGAATAATTGCATGGTGCAGTAGGTTTCCCTAGTGAGTAATAATTGTTCAAGATGTGAGGAATTTTCGAAAGACCTAATTTGTTCAATAATAATGAAATTGATTTGAGAAATCTCATGTTCAGAGTCATTGAAATGGATGGCCAATTCACAAGTTCTTTTGTTCTTCAGCATGTTTGACTTGTGGTTACAAAATCTTACTTTAATTTCAGTCAAGGTGGAGCCTACATATTGCAGGTTGCATTTGGCTCAAGTGGCCAAATAAATAACATTTTGTGACAAACAAGACAGCCCTTGTTGAATGGGATATTGACAACCAGTTGCCGAACTTTGAAATTTCGAAGCTGGAATTAAATAGTTTTTGCATACATCGCACTTCTTGTCACATTTTGAACAACCTCTGTCTTCTTCTCTTTGATTTCTACTGGAGGTTACTTACAACAACATCTCCTTAAGATTTTTGGTTCTACGATAAGTGGGAAATATCAACTTGGATGGAAAAATTTCTTTGACTTCTGGTGAGGACTGTAATATATAAAAGTGCTTTTTGATAACTTTTTGGATATCTGGCAAAATTGGATTGTAGTCGAGCACCAATGGAAAAACTTTCTAAGCTGGCTTGACATTTTCCCTCAACAGTTCGGCTCTTGGTATACTAAGAGCTTTGTCGAACTGTTTATCAACAAGCTCTGCTGCATAATTTTGCAATTTCAAATACCCTTTGTATTCCTTACATCTATTTTGTAAAAAGTCACCAGTAGAACAATTGCATTTGATTGTTAAAGCTGCCCCAAAGGGGACTGCTCTTTTGCAATGTATTGGGTGTGAACTCAAAAATGGTAGGTAGAGGTGGCTATCAGTGGGTTTAGCATAAACACCAGTGCTAATGAACCCGTCATGAAAATGCAACATGATATCAAGAACATTCAAATGACTGTCAGAGTAAACCAATTCAAATTTGATAGTAGGATACAAACCGTTCATGTAATCAGTAAATTCCAATAGTTAAGGTAAACCTTGAGTCCAAATGTCAAAAATATCATCCCTGTATCTCCACCAGCGCATAGGTTTCTGTAACGTGGTCATAGACAGACAATCCCTGTTGAGTTAGTTCATGAGTTTTATTAGATGCTTGCCAAGGTCTCTGGTGTCGAACAGCCCGTGCCTCGTGTGACAATAATGCCAGATCACGTGTTGTGGGAATCATAAAAGATCATGTGTTAGGGGAATCTCGTTGCAGTTTCAGGCTACTTTCAAATTTGGCTTGCTCATCAACTACACCCATGGCCAAATCTGCATAACTGCAGGCATTTTTCGGTCCCATGGCTGTGCCATGTTTCTGAACAACATTCTGACCAGAAAACTGGCAATTATTTACCCTGGGACAAATTTCAACAGCTTCAACTAAGCAATCAGTTGAAGGAATGTTAACAGATCTGGAATTAAGTGCCCTTCTAACTGCTGAAATACCTAGATTGTTGTCAATGTTCGGAAACATTGAGACTACATCCCAAGACAGAAGTAGAGACCCCTCATGGAATAGGCCTTTTGCATTTAAATCTTCTAATTTGTTAATAATTCGGTGGAATCCTTAACAAAAGATGGGGGACTCTGTGAAAGAGGTTTGAGATAGAATTCTGTAAAAGCAGAAAGCTGTTCGATTGCTGTACCACAACAGAATGTAATAAGTCAAAGTGGGTTATCATGTTTGTGTGTTTTGACATTCCCAAAAGCGACTCTCGGTTTAGATTTACAACCCACGTGGCAATCTCCTGACTAATCTGCCCCTCAGAGAACACTTGCGACTCCATTCCTTGACCACTTCAAAATGGTTAAGTGTTGGGTCGGAGTCTAAGCTATCATAATGCAAATCATTATTAAGCTGCCTTAGTATCTTGTTGACTGAGGACAACAAACGTAGAACCTTTATCTTGAATTCTAATAATATTTTACTAGATTTAAGAGACGCTAAAGCTAACCTTTCTTCTCTTGTAAGATTGTCTAAAAATTGGCAGACTTGAAGATGTCATTATTCACATTGTTGAGGAATACTTCTGCTTCCAGAAAAATGGATTTTGGAGGGAACCATTGGGAAGCTGATGCAATGGCTGGAAATCAATCATCCACTGTATGTGGGTTGTATTCAGCATTTCTTCTGTGGAAGAAAATGGCAAGACGGATTCTCCTTTCAAATTTGTCCATGTCATCAGTCACCTTTTTGCCAGTTAACGTCCCCAGGCACAGGACAAAATGCTGGTCCTTTCTTAAGGAGAGAGTGCTCTGCATATGTGAGTCCAGACAGATATATTTTATATTTACATAAAAAATTATACGTTTGCTCAAATAGTGTGAAATATTATGACAATATATTATTAATTAATTATAAAAATCTATCCTTATTTACGTTAAATTTATTAAGATAAATTTTATCAATAGTGTTCTCAAATGATGAGAAATGTTCAAATGTTCTGAAATCTAGTGGTAGGGAATTCCACAGGTCTACAATAAAATTGAAGAAAGAAAACTTAAAAACATCAGTTTTAAAAAGGCCTTTCACCAGTGTAGTTTTACTGGTTGTCTTAAAATTTGCATATGACAAAACATTGCAATCAATATAACCTTTCAGTCTCTTAAAGAAAAAAACAAAGATCCAATATCTCTTTTATATTCTAAAGGTAAAAGTTGCAGTTTGACAAGTCTCTCGGGATTACTTAAGTCAGTTTTCAGGATAAGTTTAGTGGCACATCTTTGTACAAGCTCAAGTGCAGTGATCTTTTCTTTAGTGTAAGGTGACCAGAGCTGTGATACTTACTCCAGCTGTGATCAAACAAGTGATTTTTATAAAATTATCAATGATTTCTGATCACATTCATTGGTAGAAGTTCTTTTGATCATTCTCAGCATCTTGTTGGCTTTAATGATGATGATGTCAATGTGATTATTCCAAGAGCATTCCCTTAACAGACGTGATGTTATTTTATCTGGTCCACAAGATTTGGCAGTGTTCAGCTGATTCAGAAATTCCCTGACCATAAATGGTGAGATGGTAATGTTACTTAAAGACTGGTTGTCATTATCAAAGTCACTGAAAAAATAGTCCTCGTGAAGGGGAATACAATCATCTCTCTTAAAAACTGAATTAAAGTAGTTATTGAATAGTTCTGCCTTTTCTTGAGCAGCAGATATTTCCACCCCATTGTATTGCAAAGATGTTGGAATCCTTTTATTCTTGTATTTAGCTCGATAATAAGCCCAGAATCACCTAGGGTTTTCTGTCAGAGTTGACGACAGACCTTTGAAATATTGCCTACGCTTCCATTTAATAAGTGATTTGAGTCCTGCACAATGCAGTCAAAATATTGCGCAGTGATATTCAGAGGATGACTTTTTGGCCTGCTTTCTAAGTCCCTCTTTCTTTCTTACAGCTTTAAGAACATCAGCATCAATCTATGGAGCTCTATAAGCTGATTTTATCACAATCGTTAACAGCTGCAAGAAAAAGATCCATCCACTTGACAGTTTAAAAATCCATGTCATTTCCATTATTAACTATATCCCAAGGAATATAATTTTAGAGTTCTTGAAATCCGTCAAAATCAGCATCCTGATAGTTGTAAATGTAACGTTTCAATGGCTTGATGCGCTTCAGTAGAATAATGATGTCAAAAGTAATTAGCATATGGTCTAAGGAAAATTCCCTTGAGAGAATTGTAATTTGTCTAACAAATTCAGGAACATAAGTGATAAGTAAATCAAGTATTGTTGAGTTGTCATTCACAGATCTAGTTGGAGAAATAATGATGTGGTGGTGGTGTCTTTATTTTACAGGTGGGTCTCAGGGGTTGCTCTGGCACTTCCGCATAGCTCCACAATTCTGTCTTTGATGCCACCCTCATGTGCCTGGTTTTCCTTGTCTATTGCCTGCTACATGTGTCAGGAATTTTTAATTTCTCCTGTTGTCAATTTACTCAGGTGATTTTACTGTGACTATATTTGTTGGTGACCTCACAAGGAGTATCTTCAAAAGACATACAGGCCACACAGGTGTATGGACAGTCTAGGGATCGCTGTCATTCTTCTAATCATACAAACCCACATGTTGCACATATCAGAGTGCGTTTTTCATATAAAAGATCATTTTTTTATTACGTTGAATTTTAAAACATCAATCATATACCACCTGTCCTAGATAGATAGATATAATAGATAGATATGTTGAGTGAAAAAGTGCAACTTGCAGCTGGAGGGCTGAATTGCATGTATGCAAAATAATAGTTTTAAACAAGATTAATAAATATCTAAAATGAATAATATTGAAGACAAATTACATAATTGGATTTAATCTATGTGATCTAAATATGTGTTATAAAAAAGGGCATTATATCTCTAAGTTTATTGGAAAATATAGTTCATAATTTATATATCAGGATTTGATAAACTCCAACTGAAGATGGTATAAAGGTGTTCATAAATCTACAAGTCTTTGCTCTTGGGGGGGACAAAGACTTGAGCCTGTCTAAGATTATATCTTGGAATGTTTCTTTCTGGTTGAAGATGTCCAAGGTTGTGACTGGGTGTAGTAACAATGTCATTGAATAGTTTGTCATATGCTTTTAAACGCTTGTCCCTTAGCTTTAAAATTCCACTGAGGTCCAAGCTGTCTGTGTAGTCGATGTTGGGGTAGATGATTGCCAGAGCATGCTTCTGAACCCATTCTATGGCATCTGATAAGTAGGCTGGTAATGCAAAATGGAAAACCTGACAGCTGTACTCCAAAACAGGTCTTACGCAGGTCACATAAAAGGTAATAATGTCTTGTTCAGGGACTTTGGTGCATTTTAACTGGACGATAAAATATAAAGGTTTATTAGCTTTCTTGATAATATTGGCCATGAGGTCATTCCACTTCAGGTTGTTGCTAATACTTAGTCCCAGTATTCTAGCATTCATAACTACTTCAAGTTGACCAGAGTCAATATTTAAGCTTGGGAAATTGTTCACAGTTTTTGAGAAAGAGATCACAAGCTCTTTGTACTTAGCAACATTTAGCTGTAGTCTGTCTGTGGTTGACCAAGTTTGGGCGTTGTCAACAGCATCGTGGATGTTAGTGGTACAGCATTTAGGCATGACTTCGGAAATGGTGGTGTCATCGATGTATTTCCAGGTTTGTACTTGAGGTGAGAAAAGATCATTTATCATGAGTAGGAAAAGCCATGGTCTTAACTTTGTCCCCTGTGGCACACCAGACAGGATATCAGCTAGCTTTACTTGCCACCTGTTAATGAGAAAGTTGATCACCCAGTGCTTGACAAAGAGGCATGGATAAGAGAGAGACCTTAGCCAAGATATGATGGTCTATGAGGTGGAAAGCCTTGCAGTAACCAAGTAGGGCAACTCTGACTGCACTTCCTGTTCAGTCGGTTGCCTTGGCCCAAGAATGCACCATTGAGATGAGCACATGGGTTGTGGATGAACGAGGAATACTGCCAAACTGAGATGGATCGATTATCTTCAAAACAGCAGGGGCTTCTCGGTCATGGATTTAATTTTATCGATGATATGGAACTTTTGATTCTATATGACATGTTCGAGCCAAGAAATCCGGATTTTCCTTACGAATCTTACGCGGAATTCGACTTAGATGAGATGGTCGAGTCAGAGTGCCTCGCTGAATTTGTTTCAAGAAAAGAGATGTGTACCGACTTGCCGATGTTCTGCAAATTCCTCAGACCTTACGATGTGACCAGAGGTCGACTTGTGGCGGTGTGGAGGGCTTATGTATGCTTTTGAGACGGTTAAGCTACCCTTGCAGATACGGGGACATGATTCATAGATTTGCCAAGCCAGTCCCTGTCATCAGCATGGTTACAAATAATTTGATCGACTACATATTTGATGTCCATGGCCAACGATTGACCCATTGGAATCCTGAGATTTGGATCCCGACCACCTTGAGACGTACGCAGCAGCCATTACGGCAAGAGGCTCACCTTTACACAACTGCTTTGGCTTCATCGATGGCACTGTAAGGCCAATCGCTTGACCAGGAGACAATCAGCGTATACCATACAATGGACATAAGAGGGTCCATGCTATCAAGTTTCAGTCTTTTGTGTTACCAAATGGCTTAATTGGAAACATGTATGGTCCTGTAGGTGAACTATGGAGCTATATTTTCGTTATTGCGATTTCAAATAAAAGAAATTGTCTTTTAAAATAGTAATGAATTACTTTTTGTAACTTTTTTGTATCCTTCGCTTGTTTCAGAAGGCAGAAAGCATGATGCATCAATGCTTGCAGATTCGGGACTGTTGCGAGACCTACAGCAGTACGCCTTTGACCATGGTGGCCAACCAACATGCCTGTATGGAGATCCCGCGTACCCACTTAGAGTCCATCTTCAGGGTCCGTTCCGATTTGGAGTTTTAACCGATCAAATGAAGGCTTACAATACTGCAATGAGTGCTGTAAGATCTTCTGTTGAATGGCTATTTGGGGACATAATAAACTACTTTAAGTTCTTGGACTTCAAGAAAAATTTAAAAATTGGGCTAAGTAGCATTGGCAAAATGTATATTGTTTCTGCTCTTCTCCAGAATGCCCTTACCTGTCTTTATGGCAACGAAACGGCCACCTTTTTTGATCTTGACCCACCAACACTGGAAGAGTATTTCTCATGAGATTTTCATTTGTTTACTGTTTATTTGCTCTTAAATCAAAAGGAGAGCTCATAACAATAGTCTTCAGCACTTTATAAATATTGTAAAGTTTATAATCGCAATAAGTTTGAAAATGTTTGTGATGAAATAAATATATCATCTTTAGAACAAATGTTATTAACAAAAGATTTGAAAATATCAAGGGAGGGATGCACAACTTTAACTCACCAATAATATTCATCAAACAAACTTGTGAAAAAGTTACTTTGGAACATATTTTTGCATAAAAGCTAAAAATGCCTGTGACTGTTGCTGCTGTTGATTAATCATCATCATCATCATTTGCTGTTGCTGCTGCTGTTGTTTGACCATGGTGGAGATCAGGTTTTCTTGATTCTGGTTCTTTTCCCTCTCCCTTTCTTTTATGTTCTCCTGCTCTTTCTTCCTTAATTCCAGTTCTTGTTCTTTCAAACCAATCTCTTTATCCGCCCTTTCTTTTAAATATTCCACAGCATCTGATGTGCTCCTTCGACTTTTCTTCTTCAGATTCTTTGGTACTGAGTCATCACTTTCCTTTTTTCTTTTCGCAGTTTGCCCCATACGTTCTAGAGCCTTCTTTCGCATGTCTTTGGCTGCTGCCTTGTCATTCTGGTTGTCACTCTCCAACTTTTCTTTAGCAGCTTTTTCCTTCTCAAGGATTTCTTCTAAGAGATCATCAAGCTCTGAAGTTTCAACTTGAATGCCGCTAGCTTTCTCTTCACTCTTTAGTTTTGCAGCCATTTTCTGGGTAAGGAGGTTGTAGCGGTCTCGTACGGACCTTGCAGTCACCCGGAACTTTGGACATGAATTTTCGTTTAACTTTTCTGCCAAAGATTCCCAGGCCTGCCTCCTTTCTGGACTTCTGATTTTAAATTGGTAGGGCTCGATCTGAAGAACCTCTCGACACATAACGATATCGTGGTCATTACTCCACACGAAATTTGGATTTCTGCCAAAGTAGATAAGAAAAGGATTTGTGAGTGATTGTGCTAAATAAAAATTTAATTAATCCACTATTTGATATTATAAAATCTTTTCATATTACATTGCTGTTAAAAGAGCTTTAAAGGGAAAATTTACCGCAATAAAAAGATCGAAAGCAATGCAAATTATTTTATTTCCGACCTCCTACATTTGCAATTTGTTCTGCGAGTTCTTTCACGGCGATACGTGTATTTCTAATTTCCGCTGTAAATATTTAGAATACTAGACTTTGAGGAGATTATTTCACATTTCTTTTACCCGCCGTAAATATTAAGAACACTAGATTTTACGGAGATTATTTCCCATTTAACATTACGGGGTGTAACTCATAAACAAACCTGATGTTGCACCAGATAAATGCAGGATTTAGGTTTGAATAATGAAGTAGACCCCTTTCCAGGGTCAGCAGTGATGCCTTCTTCTGTGACCACATGTCCAAGATACGAAACCCTTTTCCGAAAGAGAAAACACTTCTTCGGCTTCAGCTTCAGTCCTGCATGGGCAAGTCGCTCAAACACCTGTTTCAGCTGCTCCAATTCTTCCTCAAATGTGGGTGCCATGACAATCACATCCTCAAAGTAAATCAAGCAGATTTTCCAATGAAGACCCTTCAAGACAAGTTCCATCAATCTGGCAAATGTACTTGGCGCATTGCAGAGCCCGAAAGGCATGACATTCCATTCATACAAGCCGCTAGAAGTTACAAATGCTGCTTTTTCCTTGGTGCTTGCATCCATGGCCACTTGCCAGTAACCAGAGGCAAGATCCAGTGTGGAAAACCATCTTGAACCGCTTAAAGCAGAGAGTGAATCATCGACTCTTGGCAAGGGGAAGGCATCTTTAACAGTTGCTGCTTTCAATTGACTATAGTCAACACACAGCCTCTGGCTTCCGTCCTTTTTAGTCACCAAGACAACTGGAGATGACCAAGGGCTTGACGATTCTGTCACTCTCCCTTGATGCAGGAGGTCTGCTCTCTGCCGTTCTATTTCGTCATGTTTCCATGGAGAGGTGCGTCGGGGTTGTTGCCTGATTGGAAGCACATTGCCTGTTTCAATTCGGTGCTTGACCATTTGTGTGGTAGCCAGGTCCCCCTCTGTAAGGGAGAAGACATGTTGGTAATCATACAGCAACTCCTTCAGTCTTGCAGTTTCACTGTCAGTCAAATCAGTACAGTGTTCAAGAAGTTCCTGTAACGGCTCCGGTAGAGTCCTTTCAATCGTTTCTCCTGTTACATGCTGATTCATTACTCTAGCTTGGCCCACAACACTCCCATTCTCCTCATAAGTTTCCAGTGAAGTGACATCAATAACTGGCTTAGCTAGGGCAACCACAGTCTCAGCAGCCAAGTTGTAAACATTGTCAGAAACATTGAAAACACGCAAAGGAACCACTCAGTCCTCTTTAACATCCACCAGGGTCCTTGCAACATAAAGGCCCTTTTGCTGCAAATGTGAGTTAAGGCAAGGCTCTAACAATCGCATGCCTAATTGAGATGACTTTGGATCTAAGGTCGCAGAACGCTTCTGAACAGTAACTGGAACGATGACTTCTGTATAAGGTTCAATCAATGTTGAACGTCGTACCATGCATCTGGAACTAAGGGGCTGGTTTTTGAAATCACAACAGTCAAACACTTCTCCATTAATCGACACTTGGTTTTTTACAATGTCAATACGCGAATCGACTTGTGACAAAAAGTTCATACCCAAAATGCCCTCAGCCACAATCACATGCATTTCAAACTCTTTAGTACCCAGGCGCACAACAACATGCCCCAGTCCGTGTGTTTTCGCTTGCTGACCATCAGCAAGAGCAATGGCAGAATTGGCTGAACTCAAACTGAACTCGGCACTGGCAGGTAAAGAATTATAAATCTTAAACGACAAAATTGAACGAGCAGCACCAGTGTCTATCAACCACATAACACAAGTTCCTCCAACAAAGCCAGGCAAATGAAGACCTCTTAATTTATTACTAACTTGTGACCTTTCCATGAGCACATCAGAAGAAGTTAGTTCCTGCTGTGATGGCTGTTGAACAGCATTGTTCATGTCATGTCCAGTTGTAGGGCCAACATCACTCTCATTCAGGCATCCCCCTGGCCCGTGGGCGACACCCTGCTGGCGTTTCCTGAACCCAATTTGGCTCATTCATGTGACTTGCGTGCTGGGCAGTTACGACGGTAATGACCAAATTCTTTACAATCCCAGCATGGACCATCTCGGTTGGAATAACGTGAAGAGGGTTGGCGTTGCTGGTTTTCAGAAGTGTTCAAAGACATTGACTGGGAGAGCTGCTGAATTTGCTGAACTAATTCCTGGAGAGCAACTTGCTGGGTCTCCTGACGTTGTTGTTGCGCGTGAAGGTCAGAACGTAACAGTTCCATCTGAGCTTTAAACAAATCAGGCTCTCTTTCAACTTTATCCATAGAACGAACCTTTGAAGAGCTTCTTCGCAAATCACTATCGAGGAGACGAAATGCTTCAAGCTCACAAGCCAGCGACAAGGCTTCGTCCATAGTGCGTGGTTTATCTCTTCGTAGGCGAAGCCTGTCCTCTTGATCTTTGATAGCATCGATGAAATGCTGAACGGCAAATCTTTCTTGAGTGTCAGGTGATAAAT